GGAAAGGAACCAGTGTTAAACAGAGAGAACAACTCAACAGTAACAGTCGTACCCAAGTTAACCTTCACACAGTGAGGTCCCAGGTACCCAGTGATAACGGCGCGTGAAACCCAACAACAACCAGCGATGTGTTAATCCGTCTACGATAGGAAGGCCTGGGACCACACCTCACTCGAATAACACCATCTGTGAGGGAATTACTACACTACATGTCCCTCATAACACCATCTGTGAGGGAATTACTACACCACATGTCCCTCATAACACCATATGTGAGGGAATTACTACACCACGTCAAGTCCCTCGTAACACCATCTGTGAGGGAATTACTACACCACGTGAGGCCCCTCATAACACCATCTATGAGGTAATTACTACACCACGTCAGGCCCCTCATAACACCATCTGTGAAGGAATTACTACACCACGTGATGCCCCTCATAACACCATCTGTGAGGGAGTTACTACACCACGTGAGGCCCCTCAAAACACCATCTGTGAGGTAATTACTACACCACGTGAGGTCCCTCATAACACCATCTGTGAGGTAATTACTACACCACGTGAGGTCCCTCATAACACCATCTGTGAGGGAATTACTACACCACGTGAGGCCCCTCATAACACCATCTGCGAGGTAATTACTACACCACGCCAGGTCCCTCATAACACCATCTGAGGGAACTACTACACCACGTGAGTTCCTCCTAACACCATCTGGGAGGCAGTTACTACACTATGAGTTTGCTGTTCAACACCTACATTTATCTGTATGTTCACTGTATGTTCCTTTGCCTTTCTCTAATGAAGGCTTTTGTTAAACCACCAATGTATGTAATAAGTCATTTATGTCCAATGTATATTTTCAGCCTTCGGGCTGCAGAATTTTTTCAATAAACCGTTAATTATTATTATTATTATTACACACACACACACACACAAAGCTGTATAGTTATTCTATATGTTGACAATGTTTCTTATGTTTCTGTATTGAAAGCTTTTGTCAATCAAGTGACCCACTCCCTGAATTCACCATATGTAACTTATCATCTCTGTTCATTGTATATTTTCAGCATTCGGGCCGCCATGTTAACTTAATAAACCGTTAATTATTATTATTATTTATTATTACACACACGGGAATTAAGACAACATGCATCCAGTGAGGGTTTTGTTGTGTGACTGTAAGGAGGCAAATCAATGTTGAGAAGCTTATTGCTTGGCAACACTGGTGCATGTTACCACTCCTTTCTACTCCATATATCTATTCACCCACACCTTTCTGCTTTCTCACTCTACAGTATATTTTAAAATGTTATGTAATGTAATGTTGAATGGATACAACCTTGCTCATTTATACTTTTACTTATAACAATCTCTTTAAAATATTTTAGGTTTCGTGTTTATTCAAGACATCTTCAGGTTATGAGACCCACTAATCCCCTACCCAAGAAAGGTGACCTCTTATTCCATCAGAAAGTCAGTAATATGAGACCACTAATCCCCTACCCTAACGCCACCTGACATTGAGTCAGGTCTGGTCCCTCCCCAAAAATCTTGAGCTTTTGTCTTTATTCAAGACATTTTCAGAAATGCTCTCTATTTTCGACCTCGGAAAATTTGTTCCTAAAGCCGGAATTTTTTTTTAATTCCGGCTTAGGGAATGCTTTTCCAAGCAAATTTCAATTCCGGCTGTCGGAGAGTTCCGGGTTTGAGGGATTCCGGCTAACGGAGATATTACTGTACCGTATATCTCGGCTTATAAGACGGAATTTGAACATTAAAAAAATCTGCCCAAAGTTAGAGGGTCGTCTTAAGCACCAAGTATAAAATTTTTACTTCTTAAATATTGCGTGTCAAGAGTGGTGATGGAAACATGGTAAACCACTCACAAAGTCCTACCAGGGAAAGTGACCTTGACTGTGATCGCCTGTGGCTATTTTTAGCCGTCCTTGTGTTCGGAGGTGGCCAGTAATGCATATCTGTATATTTACTGATCATAATACTTATCTCCTATAAATAATTATTTTAAAATTTATTTTTTTACAAAGAATATTCAGTAAATGACTGCGTTAATTCTTGAAACTACCGACAGTGATAAATTTAGGATATAAATGATGAACAGAAGTCATGTCATGGATTCAGAGTTTGGTCCTTAATGATCACCTACCAGTTATAATGGTCGCCTCCCACTTTTGCGAAACAAGTATATAAATTAAAGAAAATACTTGCAGTGTGTTTAATGTATTACAGTATATTATAAATAAATAAATAAACAAATAAATCGGCAAATCTATTTCAAGTAAATGGAAATATTTTACTCACACCAACATTAGTTCCAATTAAATAACTGCCGCTTAAGTGAGTCACTAGTGTACACCAGCCAGTAAAATTTGATGCCAATACTTGAAGTGAATTGGCATTATTTTAAATAACCAACCATAAATAAATGGAAAAAAGATCAAAGGTGAGAAACATTATATTGTATGTATGTTGTGTTGTCAAAGGAAGAGAAACAATTGAAACTCTGCAATTGTGTGTAAATGAGGCAAAAAGATAAATCAGCAACCTAAGACTTGGTCACAATTTTCGTGATGCCATTTGGCAGCAGGGTCTACCATTAGACAATACTGTACATTATGCTTCCAATATCTTCCCAGGCAGTAGAATCTCCCTGTTTGGTAGCTGCCTAAAACTTTAAGTCATATTACTTTGATACAACATGATAAATTAGACAAACAATGAAAATAAACAAACAAAAGTTATTTACCAAGACCTCTCTGAGAACAGAGGGATGGAGGGGGAAGGAAGGAGGTTGAGATAAGACGGCTATTTATAGCCTGTCTTTGTGTAGGAAGTCGACCACACTAGAAATAATTAATTTTATTATGGTAGTGTTGTGAGGATGTGTGAGTGGTGTGGGAGGTTGTGGTAGTGTTGTAAGGATGTGTAATTGGTGTGGGGAGTTGTGGTAGTGTTGTGAGGATGTGTAATTGGTGTGGGGAGTTGTGGTAGTGTTGTGAGGATGTGTAATTGGTGTGGGGGGTTGTGGTAGTGTTGTGAGGATGTGTAATTGGTGTGGGGGGTTGTGGTAGTGTTGTGAGGATGTGTAATTGGTGTGGGGGGTTGTGGTAGTGTTGTGAGGATGTGTAGTGTGGGGGCTTTGTGGTATTGTGAGGATGTGTGAGTGGTGTGGGGGGTTGTGGTAGTGTTGTGAGGATGTGTGAGTGGTGTGGGGGGGTTGTGGTAGTGTTGTGAGGATGCTGTATGAGTAGTGTGGGGGCTTTGTGGTACAGTTGTGAGGATGTGTGAGTGGTGTGGGGGGGTTGTGGTAGTGTTGTGAGGATGCTGTAAGAGTAGTGTGGGGGTTTTGTGGTACAGTTGTGAGGATGTGTGAGTGGTGTGGGGGGGTTGTGGGAGTGAGTCATAACCACACACCACCCTCAACACACTACCTCTTTCCTGCATCACCATCCAACACTACCAACGTGCAACACACCTGGTCACCTCTACATTATTAACACCTATACTGGAGTTGATTGGGATCAGGTGCTGTGTACATCGATGTATTTCTGCCCCTGACACTGAATAAGTCATCAACCTCTAGGGTCCAGGATAATATTAAGCCCTGGCACGGTGACTCCTCTCTCTTAAAGTGCATTAAGGTGATTGAATTTGGCGTCATCTAATCCCTAACTTCATAATGGAGTTGTCAAGGCTTCACTGTAATTACAATCTCCAGTTTTTTAGTTTCGTTTATTCAACTGGTATTATATCTACAAGAGTTATTTAACCAGACGTGGACATTTCTTTTTGTGAAGTCATATGTAGTATGAAATACAATATTTCAGTATATGAGTGTCATGTTGAGATGGGAGTGGTGACATTAGTGGGGCAGCTAAATGCAATTTTTCAAGAGAATCATGAAAATGGTGGTACAAGCACCAAATTTGGCATGGTAATTCTCTAATGGTTACTAGTCAAGTCTGCCTGATTGACCATTTAAAAATCCAAGATGGCGACCATTTTTCAAGATGACCGCCATATTGACCTTCAAAAGTTGATTTTTCTTATAGAAATTGATGTAGTTGGTCAATCTGGGTGATCTTGGTGTCGATATGTATGTTTTCAAGCATGCTCAGATGATTTTTTATAGTTTTAAGTCCATTGTAACATTTTTATCCACATAAAATAACACTTTTAGTAAAAAATATAACAAAAAAGAACTTACTAAAAAAAAAGTACGGTAAACAGTGGGAACACAGTCCCACCACCGAGACGAGGTAACACTCCCGCCACCGATCGTCTCGTGTGAAGCAAGCATATAAATTAAAGAAAATACTTGCAGTGTGTCTAATATGTTACAGTATATTATAAATAAATAAATAAACAAATAAATCGGTAAATCCATTTCAAGTAAATGGAAAAATTTTACTCGACACCGACATTAGTTCCAGTTACCAGTAAATAGCAGACGCTTCAGTGACGTCACTAGTGTTTACACTACACCAGTGGGTAACATTTGATGACATTACTTGAAGTGAATTGGCCTTATTTTAAAAAACCAAGGATGGTTGGTAGAGGACTACTGAGTCAGTGGGTAAGTGTCACATTTGGGGTACTGGTCTTATACAGCGAATAGAGCTCAAAAGCTACTTTTTAAATGGAAATTTGGGGGGGCCGTCTTATGCACCCCGACGCCTTATAGGCCGAGATATACGGTATATACTGTACATATTTTACTGTTACAGTACTTCTAAGTTTACAGTGTTTGTAAATCTCTCACCAAAAATTACACAATATCATTGTCCCTTTAATAAAAAAATGGCACTTTCTCAGTGTCGTAAAACTTTAATCAAAAACTGCATACGGTATTTGTGTCCCTCACATCCCTGCTGAGGCAGATTCCCCAGACACCCTTGCTTTCGTGTATGCCTTTGTAGTTTTTAAATTTAACACTGTTGACTCATAAAATACAAACAAACAAGATGTATTCTCACCTCTCTTCCAGGAATTGAGTGGTGTTGACAGCTCTACTCGCTTGGCAATATAATCAGCACCAGTGGTGTTCATCAGCCACAGCCTCACTGCTGCCCCCAATAAGTACATCAACCAGACTCCTCCAATCATTATCTGTAACATGATGCAATATGGAAGAATGATCCTGAAATCCTGTTTCATGCTGATTCGAGACTGACCACCTACATATACACTTGTCAGCAAATCTGTGTGTTGAAACCCAAAGCCACAGGGCCTTGACTAGTGTGGCTGGACTTTACAATTAAAATTTGAAAATCAGGTTATCCTTCAACTTCATCCAGGATAACCAGTTAGAAAGAAGGTTCAACATCCTAAAATGTAAGGAGGCTTGAAACTTTAGTTAGCTACCTAGCATAACACTGACTCTTTGAACAATTCACATGCTTGTTGACATCTGTAATACAATGCCAATATCAGGAACAACCCCCCAGATTCAGCTCCCCTCAACAACCAAGAGGGAGGGAGGCACGCAAGGTTGGCCGGTTTAAACTAATGGTTTAAAATAAACAAAAAAAACATAGATTTTTTTAATCTATGCCTTTTTTGTTGGTTTTCATAAGTTTTTTATTACTTACAGATGGCTTTAATGATTTCTAGTAGATTTGGAAAAGGAGTATGGTAGGTTGAACAGAAAAGCATTGTGGGCAGTATTGCATGTGTATCTAAAATGCCTGGGACCTTAAGGGTCTCGGATTTGTGATATTTTCTGATTTTGGAATACCTATATCCTGTATACTGAACCTGTTTACAGGGGGTCCCAGGGTTATGAATGGGTTCTGTGCCTGAGGACGTTCTTAAGTCAGATTTGTACACAAGCCAGAACACATGCTATGTGCATACAGTAAAGCCTCAAATAATGACGGTAATGTGTCCTCCAATATTGCAGTGTAAGGTGAATCGACGTATAATAAATCCTTAATTATCATTAAAAAAAAGCAATAATAAATAAATGAATTCCAAAGTCTGACCTTTTCATATATGTTGTGTGGTATTTTACCCTCTTTTCCCCCAAAAAAGAAAAATTAATGAAAAATTAAAACTATATACTGTGGGGTATGCTATAACGAATCTAATTGGTTCTAGAACCTTGTTCGTTATAGCATTCGTTCGTTATAAGAATAATCCGTTCCAGGCCCCCAAATACAACCACTTAACACTGAAAAATATAATAAAAAATTGTAAAAATTTTAAAAAAGAGCATAAATATGCATCTAAACCCCTGAAATAAAGAATTTCATTAATACTTGTAATAAAAAAACAATAAATTAGTAAAAAAAAAAAAAAAAAAATTTTTTAAATAATGTTCGTTGTAGGAGTTTCGTTCGTTATAGCATTCTCAATTTTATAGGTAAAACCGTTCGTTATAGGAAAATTCGTAGTAGGATCCATTCGTTATAGTATACCCCACTGTACTTTAAAACATGGTTATTAATGCACTTTATACAATATAAATGAATAATAATATGTAGTCACAGAAGAGGAGATGGGACGCCATTGTTGTCGTCAGTGTTTACACCAGGGACAATGGTTCTCCATCTGAAACGGAAGAAAATAATAAGATTTGTTGTAGCTGTAGTAAAAATAATGTAAAAAAAAAATTATTTTAACCCTTAGGCCCCAGGTGACATTCCAGAATGCCCGACTAGCGCGCCCCGGGTGACGTTTTAGAACGTCCACCTATTTTGCCGCCATTTTTTTTTTATTATTATTTTTGGAAAAGTTGATTTTTTTCTTAATTTAACCCTGCAGGGGAGGGTACTGCCAGCAGCACCCTAACCCGTGGCTTAAGGGTTAATTAATGTTATTGAACGAATGTACAGTAGAAGTAACCACTGATGGTAAAGAAAAAAGTGAGACAGCAAACGGCCAACGTTCATACGTGCACAATCGTGTAAACAGAGTCATTTCTCTTATGTACAAAAGATTCATTAGTGTTTATTACTGAATGTCTTTGTAATTGAATTAAATGTTTGTGTACAAAATGAACAATACAATTCATTAATAATACGGAGAATATTAAAATACACGGAGACGAGACGGCATTGTTTTCGTTAATGTTTACAAAACCAGTGACTGACTGGTTCTACATATAAAACTGAAGAAAATAAGACCCTGGTTGTAGCTGTAGTAAAATTAATGTAAAAAAAATAATATAGTTGTTTTAAGTAATGTTATTTAATGTTAATAAAAGGAACAATAGAAGTAGTTAACCATTAATGGTAAAGAAAAAAGTGAGACTGCGCAACGCCAACGTATAGTCATTACTCTACATAACAATATGAAAGCAACACTTAATACTGTTCATATATATTTTAATTAATGTTTCTGAATTTAAAACAAAAATGCTACTCACCAGGGGTGGACAAACTAAAATTAAAACGCTCTACCACCCCATTGACTTACCAATGAAACTCTTCAAGGAGTTCTCCTCGGAGCTTGCTAAACCCCTATGCTCCATCATCAATGCTTCTCTCAGTCAAGCCAGATGCTCAGTTGACTGGAAGACCTCTTATGTATCGCCAGTGCCCAAGTCAACCAGCCCACAATCCTTAAATCAGCTACGACCTATTGCAATCACCCCAATACCCAGCCTAATCTGTGAAAGTTTTGTGTTCAACTGGGCTTATGCTGATATTGCAGGAGTCGTAGACCCTCAGCAATTTGGGAATATGAAAACTTCCTCCACCACTCACTGTCTTGTCAGCTTTCTCGATTACATATACCGCCATCTCGAGAAACGAAAAACGTCTGTAGCTGTCGCCTTCATTGATTTCACTAAAGCATTCAACCTAGTCGACCACAATATAATCATGGCTTACAGACTTCCTCAGTGACCGACGTCAAGCTGTACGTTTCCGAGGGGCTGTCTCCACCTTTCAGTCACTCACCTGTGGCGTCCCCCAAGGCACCAAGATGGGACCACTCTGCTTCCTTATGCTCATCAATGATGCCCTAAGAGAAACCCCTGCTCGCTGGAAATATGTCGACGACTCCACCATTGGGATCAGCGTCAACAATTCTGCTCCCGATTATACCGCCCTTCAGGATTTATTGAACAGTCTCCAAAACTGGGCCACCAACAACCATGTCACCATCAACCATACCAAGAGCATGGTTATACACATCAACCTCTCCTCCGACATTGTCCCACCTCCTTCCATTACTTTAGGTCCGAACACACTCCAGGTTGTAGATTCCACGAAGCTCCTCGGTGTCACCATAGACAACAAACTAAATTGGAAACCACACGTCAGTGAAGTTGTCAAATCCTCCAGTTTCCGTCTCCACCTCCTCCGCCGACTCAAGTCCCTCAGAGTTCCTGCACCCGAGCTCCTCAGTGTTTACTCAACATTCATACTTCCCAAGCTCACCTATGCCTTCCCCACCTGGTCTTCCTCCCTAAATGCCACACAACGTAAGCACCTAGAAAAAGTGCAAAAGAGGGCATGCAAGATCATTCTCTCCCCTTCCTACTCCACATATCAAGAAGCGCTCAACACACTGAACCTTTCGACTCTCACTGACCATCACCACGACCTCATCTGCAAATTTGGTAAGAAGCTTCTACACCATCCTCGACACCGGCTCCTACTACCACCTGAGATCCCTAGCCCGAGAATTGCTGTTCGACACCACAACCGCATCCAGCCCATACGTGCACGAACTGATCGCTATAAGAACAGCCCAGTCCCAACCATTATAAAAATTATCAATAACTTGTAATAAACCAGCATATTCACTCCCAGTAAATACTACTTCTTGCACTGTCACTATGTTGAAATGCCCTGTAGTTTGAGCTTTTCCCCATCTAGTTATTGTATATACAGTATCTTATTTATATCACTTATGTTATTTGTATAATATTTGTAATTCGAAACCCATTCCCCAGATATGTAACTGTATATTTTCAGCCTTCTGGCTCCCAAGCTCTTTCAATAAACCGTTAATTATTATTATTATTATTATTATTATTATTATTATTATTATTATTATTATTATTATTATCATTATTATTATTATTATGTTGTTGTGTGAGTTTTTACTCAGAAGCCGAAGTTGCCAAGTCATCAGGTTCAACTCTAGCTGAAGCTGTAGCTTTCCATAATGTTGCCATAGCTGTTGCTGAAGCTGTTACTGAACCTGTAGTTGCTGAATTTGATGCTGTAGCTGATGCTGAAGCTGTAGCTAAAGTTGATGGTGTAGCTAAAGTTGATGGTGTAGCTAAAGTTGATGGTGTAGCTAAAGTTGATGGTGTAGCTAAAGTTGATGGTATAGCTAAAGTTGATGGTGTAGCTAAAGTTGACGGTGTAGCTAAAGTTGATGGTGTAGCTAAAGTTGACGGTGTAGCTAAAGTTGATGGTGTAGCTGAAGTTGATGGTGTAGCTAAAGTTGATGGTGTAGCTAAAGTTGATGGTGTAGCTAAAGTTGATGGTGTAGCTAAAGTTGATGGTAGCTAAAGGTGTAGCTAAAGTTGACGGTGTAGCTAAAGTTGATGGTGTAGCTAAAGTTGACGGTGTAGCTAAAGTTGATGGTGTAGCTAAAGTTGATGGTATAGCTATGGTATAGCTTGACGGTGTAGCTAAAGTTGACGGTGTAGCTAAAGTTGACGGTGTAGCTAAAGTTGACGTTGTAGCTAAAGTTGATGGTGTAGCTGAAGTTGATGATGTAGCTAAAGTTGATGGTGTAGCTAAAGTTGATGGTGTAGCTAAAGTTGATGGTGTAGCTAAAGTTGGTGTAGCTAAAGTTGACGGTGTAGCTAAAGTTGATGGTGTAGCTAAAGTTGATGGTGTAGCTAAAGTTGATGGTGTAGCTACAGTTGATGGTTTAGGCCTTCGAATAATAAAATTGTCTAAAGAACCTTGCACAGCTGCTTTCTTATTCTCATTATACATCTTCATGTAGAAGTCATATGCGTTTTTCACATCCCTGTTTATTTTAATACAGTGGTCCCTCGGTTAACGAACACAATTCGTTCCAGAAGGTCGTTCGTTAACCGAAAATTTCGTTAACTGAAACCATTGTTTCAATGGGATTTTGGGTAATTGGTTCCAGCTCACCGAAAATTACATACAAAGTAAAAATAAATGCAGTAA